AGGAACTTCGTTCTTTCCTTGGCCTCTCGGGCTATTATCGAAGGTTCGTAAGGGGATATGCCGATGTAGCAAAGCCGCTAACATCGCTCCTCAGAGGGGAGGAAGGCAGAATTCCAAAGACAGCTTCCAGTCAAATTCCGGTGACATTAGATGTTTCCGCCGTAGAAGCTTTCAACGAGCTAAGAAATGCATTGGTTTCAAACGATGTGATACTTGCGTATCCAGATTTCAGAGAAGATTTTGACCTAACGACGGATGCCTCCAGTGTCGCTCTTGGAGCAGTGTTGAGTCAAAAGGGAAGACCAATTGCATTCATTTCAAGAACTCTGGATGAAACAGAGGAGCATTACGCCACAAATGAGAGGGAAATGTTGGCCATCATATGGGCCCTCACTACCTTGAGGAATTATCTATACGGATCGAAGAAAGTTATAATTTATACCGACCACCAACCCCTCACTTACGCCATTAGTAACAAAAATAGCAATGCGAAGATGAAACGCTGGAAATGTACTCTGGAGGAATATAATTACGAATTGCGGTACAAACCCGGAAGACAGAATGTCGTAGCAGATGCTCTGTCTAGAACGGTACAGAAGGACAATAATGCTATTACTCCGATTAATTCACTGACTCCCACACAGCATAGTGCGGAGAGCTCATCAGAGACCCTTATACCCAGTGTTGAGTCACCCATTAATGTTTTCAAGAACCAGCTTCTCATAAGTGTGGATGACACATCAACGTACCAGTTCAATGTTGTTTTCCCAAGCATCCACCGACACACAATTACTGAACCACATTATGACGAACGAAAACTTCAAACAATCTTGAAGAGGTATTTGAACCCGTCTGTAATTAACGGAATCAAGGCACCCGAACAAATAATGGGAAAAATTCAGAACATTTACCCACTCCATTTTAGCCAGTACAAATGCAGGTTTACTCAGAAGGTAGTAGAAGATATATTATCAGAAAATGACCAGGAAAGAATAATTATTGATACCCACAATAGAGCCCATAGGAACGACAGAGAGAACAAAACACAGATTTTGGAAAATTATTATTTTCCGGGGATGTCGGGAAAAATAAAGCGAATTATAAAACTGTGCACGACGTGTAAGAAAAACAAATACGAGAGACATCCCAATGAACCTTACCTTTGTGAGACGCCTATTCCAAATTATCCAGGTCATACTATTCATATTGATATATTCTCTACAGATAGGAAATTAGTTCTGACCTCCATTGACAAATTCTCAAAGTACGTTAAAGTGAAAATACTAGACGGAAGATCTACTGAGGCTATTAGAAGACCACTGAGGGAATTATTATTCTCTTACGGAGTTCCGAAGAATGTGGTAATGGACAACGAACGTCTTTAAATTCCAGTTCGATATTATTCATGATGAAGGACGAATTAGGAATAAATATTTTTACGACCCCATCCTACAGGAGCGAGGCTAACGGACAGATAGAACGCTTTCATTCTACCCTCGCTGAGATAATGAGATGTTTGAAAAGTGATGGAACATCCAGGAATTTTGAGGAATTACTGGAGAGGGCTGTTAATGAATACAATCACTCGATTCACTCCACGGTGAATAGAAGACCTGTTGATTTGTATTTTGGACGCACAATTGACTTTTCTCCACAAGACATAGAGACTACCAGACGGAATATTGTTGACAAACTCAGACAGAAACAGGCCAACGACTTGACGTATCATAACAAAAAGAAACGACCAGTTAAGGATTATATTCCCGGACAATTAATTTATGTAAGCAACAACAAAAGGTTAGGAACGAAACTAAGCGACCGTTACAAAGAGGAAATAGTTAAGGAAAACCGGAATACCACCGTTTTGACCGAAAGCGGAAGGGTGATTCACAAAAGCCATATTAGAAATTAATAAAATCCTAAATTTTACAGATTGTTTCCTGGAAACACCCTGGCTGACTTCAGCATCCTCGACTACTCGAACGCAAGACTCATTTCAATTCATAATGGAATAGCAAGGAAACAGAACGGGACATTTAAAGTAATTCATTCAATAGATCTTGAACAGTATGAAAACCTCACTCGTGAAACCGAACACATTCTAGACAAATTCGTGAACCTAGACCATCCTCTCCGTCCATTTATGAAGCAACAATTAATTGACATCAATGGACTATTAGACCGTCTGATGCCGCACAGAGAGAAAAGATCGATAGACTTCATAGGAAGTGCTTGGAAGTGGATTGCAGGCAGTCCAGATAGTCATGATTTTCAGATCCTAGAACAGAAAATTGGCAATATTTTGGAAAATAACAATAGACAGCTGATAATAAACCAATTAATTTCGGAAAGAATAACCGAAATAACTAATAAGACGAATGAAATAATAAAAAGGGAAGGGTGGAACGATGAAGTAGTATTCAAAATCGAAAGAAAACTTAATTTTATTGAAAAAGAGTTACAAAACGTAGAGTTTGCAATACAGTGGGCTAAAGCTAATATCGTCAATTCAATTCTGCTTTCTAAAATCGAAATCGATCAAATAAACACTGTTTTTGAAAAATATAATATTCCTACTTATTCGATAGATGAACTATTAACTTTTGGATCCGTAAAAATTGTTACAAATAAACGAGAAATTTTGTACATCCTTAGTATCCCTGTAACTCAAGAAGAAGTTTGTAAAGTATATTTCATAAAACCTATAAAAACTGGAGATGTAATTGATAAAATTGAATACGAAAAAATTTTGGAATGTAATAAAGAATTATTTGGAATAAAAACAGAATGTAAAAGTAATTACGACATAACAATTTGTAATAGAGATAAGCTTATTTCATTAAGAGATGATAAGTGTATAACTAATTTGTTCAAAAGTAGAGTAGGGAAATGCACCCAAATAAACAACGAACACATACCAACAATTGAAGAGATCGGATCGGACTTGCTCTTGCTGAACCAATATCAAGGCGCTATCAGTGTAGACAACGAGCAGATTTTTTTAAACGGGACTTATCTCATCAAACATTTCAACGTCACTATAAGAATCGATGGCCACAGTTACAGTTCAAGAGGAATAAGTGCCAATAAACCTCTTCCCGCCTTTTTGCAACCAAAAGGTCCAAAAGACAAATTAGAAGAAGTAATATCATTGGAGCTGCTTAAACAGTTGAACGTAAAGAACATCGAACGAATACGATCTATGGAAACCAAAGGTACCTTAGCAGTCGGCATCGGTTGTGTTTCTGCAATAATCCTTACAACTATAACAATAATATCACTGAGAAGAAAATATGCAAAAAACTCCGAAAATAATAATCTGAAAATCGAAGATGCCCCAGGAGATGAAATAGAGATTGCGGAAGTAAATTTACCTACAACTTCGAAAGAAACTAAAACATTCAGCATTTACAATATTCATTCATTTTGAACAATCGGGACGATTGTATTTAAGAGGGGAGGAGTTAACACCAGACATATTCAAATTCAACATTAGCAACCCAAAGAATTCATCAACCAAAGTATAAGCGTGTCATTTTGCTGACACTGCAGTTCCCACCGAAACACTGACAACAACATCCAACAGGCTTTAAAATACCTAATATCGGAAGGTGCCGATATATGGGGGTTATACGCTATTGTGGACCTATATAGACAAATCTATGTCTGGGGGTAAAGTACTCACAAGGAACTCCTTATGTGGATTTTCAGATAATTCCATTGGGAAATGTGGCTAAAATCATCAAAATCCCGAATATCGCGGGGTACCGTTATATGGGGGCTATACGATATTGTGGACCCACATAGATAATTCTCTGCCGAGGTTTAAAGCACCCACAAGGAATTACTTGTGTGGATTTTCAGACAATTCCATTAAAAAATGTGGCTAACATCATCAAAATACCGAATATCGGGGGTACCGTTATATGGGGGCTATACGATATCGTGGACCGATATACCCCATCTTCGAACTTGACCTGCCTGCAGACAAAAGAGAGATCTGTGCAAAATTTTAGCTTCCTATCTTAATTCGTTTAGACTGTAGCGTGATTACAATAGACGGACAGGGCTAAATCGTGTTAGAATTTTACGCTGATCGAGAATATATACACTTTGTTGGGTCCAAAATGATTATTTCGATGAGTTACAAACGGAATGACGAACTTAATATACCCTCCATACTATTTTTGGTGGAGGGTATAAAAAGAGTCCGATTGTCTTCAAATGTTCACTGTTTAACACTTCGAAAGTTGACATAAGCTTCAATGCTATTTTTTGATCCTAGACACTGAACATCAGTCTAACAGTAGATACTTAAAACCTCAATATTACCTATTATGTTCTGTATTTAACACCTTGTTGGAAATTCGTAGCTAATTTCGCCCTCCAAAGCTGGCACTTGTATTTTATTAGCTCACATTTCAAATTGGTCTCAAATCGAAAAAAATCTCAATTTCAAGAATTTGCATATCAAGGGCAAAAGTTAGTTTAAGGACACTTCAGACTGAAATAATTCCGACTAACGCATACAACAAGACGGCTGTAAAAAAAATCGAGAGGTATATCAGCTTAAATTCACTCGCGCACTCTACTGCCAGTGAGTGACTTGACAAAGTTCCTGCATAATTTATTTGGCTCGGCGTTTGATGTTATCTGCGTTAGCAAACGAAATTCTACGACACTCTTATGAATACCTGTCGTGTGTTTCATGCATCCAAACATCTATCCATTCGTCTAAGGCAGTTGGAGAACTTGCCAGAATATTTTACGACTTTTCGTTGATGGCGTGGCGAGTCGAGTCGATGCGATGTGATGTGGCAGATATGAAAGTTGTAAGCGTGGGTATGAGTGCGCACAAAAACACTTTTATATACATAGCTATTTTCGTACCTCCCATTGTAGATATGTTCAACTTAGATATAAAGCGACAGCACGAAAGTACATAAAGTTAATATTAAATTACATTTCGTATTTTTGGTGTCTCTTTTCTTTCGCTGCAGGTGGAGCAAATTCAAGCGGAATATAAAGTTTTGGCTCTACAATACCATCCGGATAAGAATAGTGGCGACAAGGAGGCAGAGGCCAAGTTTCAACAATTGAAGGTAAGTTTACCCCCCTCCAAAAAATATGATAAACGTGAAACGGGAACTTTTCATTCAAAAGAAAGTGAGAAGTTGATTACTTTTCCATGAAACAGTTCGTTCGTTGTTTTAACTAAATTTTTAAATAAATAAAAATAAACTTACGTGAAAGATACGAGCAATGAAAGTTGCTGAATATGACAGTGACAAAAGGATAACTTTGACAATGTAAAGTGAGTGAAGTTTTGTGTGCCGTTTTGAAAATTCCCAAAACTTGTTGAATAATTCATGGGCACATGAAAACAATGTAACTTTAAAAGTGTGATATTTAATTGGTTTTTTGGAAATGGAATACACATTTAGATGGCTGTTGATGTCTGCCATTTACAGAGGAAACTTAGGAAATTCTAATTAAAATCTAATTTAATTTATGACACATGTGAAAGTAATTGAATTTGGTGGAAGTTTTAATTGTTTGTCTGCTATAGAGGTCTGGCTGGCGTTGAAGTTTAATTTAAAGAACAATTCTCTTTTGGGGAAATAAAATGAAGAAGAAAAAGACTTTATCTAAGGCGAAATAGCTTTATTTTTCAGGCATACCCTTTCCTTTCTTACTTCGCGATTCTAGATTCCACGATTTTTCTACCCTTCACCTTATGACTACATAGGATATATATTTTCGATACATCGAAACTGTGTGCCAGAACAGTTTTAGATATTCTGTATCTTTGAACGAAATGTGGTGAAAAACCTTAAAGGTCCCTCTGTATCTCCAAATTTAGAGCCATCTATATGATTTGCTCGTCTACGAAATTTGGCTATATTCGTCAACGAAATCAGCATAAAAAAGCCAGAAGTTCGCTTTTTGTGAATTTTGTATTTTGACTTTAAGTTATTTTCAGCGTTTCGGTAGAACGGAAATGTTGGTATGTTTTCACACAAGTGGTCCAAGCCTACCCGCTGTCCTAAACTCTAACTTCATGCGAGATTTCGTGTCCATTGGTTTCTATGTGTGTCCTTTATAAAGGCTGCAAAATCAGGAACATTTTTAGTTGTTGGTCCATTTCAACCCCCTAAATACAGGATGAGATACAAAAAACAGCAACATTTACATTTTGTTTAAATCTCCGGATTCCAATCCGTTGGATTTTTGTGTCGGGAGTATTTTGGAAAGCAAGGTTGGCACTAAAAAATACCAAAGCAAAAATGTCGGATATAGCATAATATTTTAGAATAAGTTTAGATTTATTCGAATTGGTCACATTTAGCACGAATTATGGCCTTCAAAGGGCCAATGAAACCGTCACACGCTGCCCGAATGTTGCTATGCGGTATTTTGGCCTATTTTTAGTTGTTGGTCCATCTCAACCCCTAAATGCAGGGTGATATACAAAAAACAGCAACAAAGTCAAAGGCCATCATTTTTACATTTTTTTAAATCTCCGGATGCCAATCCGTTGGATTTTTTCTGTCTGGAGTATTTTGGAAAGCAAGGTTGCCACTAAAAAATACCAAAGCAAAAATGTCGGAAATAGCATCAAATTTTAGAATAAGTTTAGATTTGTTCGAATTGTTCACATTTTGCACGAATTCAAAGGGCCAATGAAACCGTCACACGCTAACCGAATGTTGCTCTCCGGTATTTTGGCCCATTTCTGGCGAAGCGCTTGTTTGAGGTGATCGACACTTTGGTATTTTTTAGTGCCAACCTTGATTTCCACAATACTGCAGACACAATAGTCCAACGGATTGGTATCCGGAGATATTGGTGGCCATTGTGCTCTGGAAATGAAGCGAGGAAGTCCTGTTGGAATGTCCAAGGTCTTCGGCCAAAATGCTTGTGTGCCCGAGGCTTTAATACACCCTCCAGAATATTTTCGCGATAATGTTCGGCATTTATTCTGATGCCACGGTTGATTAGTATGAGCGTAGAGCGACCATCGGCTGTTATGGCGGCCCACACCATCACCATGGCCGGCGCTTGAGTTCTGGTGGTCAACCTAAGGCGCACATTTTCAGCTGATCTCTTTAGCAAGTAAACACGATCATTTTGTTTGCTAACAAACTGCTTTCGGCCAAGGGAAGCAATTCTTTTGCTCTTTTGAGTCTATTTTCTGTCTGTTGCGGTGTAAGTTCTTGCACTTTTTGGAATTTCAATGGCTTTACCTCGAGCTCATTTTTCAATATTTGCCAAATGGAATATTGTGATATGTTCCGCTCACGACCATTTTTCGGCCACTGCGACGCGGGTTTCGATCAAGTCGCTTCTTTACTTTTCGAACCATTTCTGTTGATGTTGCTGTTTTCTTCCGTACACTTCCTTGACGTCGGGCTACGCTACCGTGATACTGATAACGAGCGATGGAACGAGACACAAAAGATTCATTCACATTTAAATGCTGGAGTGGTTTTCCAGCTACCCTATCACGCTTGAATTCCATCACGAATATTTTTTTTTTTCTGGAAAATGTTCACCAAGATGCTTCTGTACGCTTGTAGGCAATATAATGAGCTATCACTGGAATAATTTTAACAGCTGTCGGACGAGAGGCTTACAAATAACAGCAGTCTGAAATTGGTTGCAGTTTTTTCATCTCACCCTGTATATCCGATATCTTGGCTATTAGCTTCACTGTAATTGTCAGTAGTGCCCTTTCAATGCACCTGTGATTTGGCCTGGATTATAAATATTCGCGGTTTAGTGGACAATTTCGTATTTTCTGACATAAAAGTTATGCTTTATTTTACCCGCTAAGTATTGTCCGTTGGCTAGATCGACACAGCTCGGCGAGATAGAAACATCCATATATAGTTTTCTATGTCGGGGACCAGTATTTCGAGGTGTTACATAATTTTTGGACCAATCAAACTTATAATACCCCAAAACTTATGGGTAGCAGGGTATAATAATATAAAGCGAAATAGCTTTATTTATCAGGCATACCCTTTATTCTCTAACTTCGTTATTCCTGGCTTCATGATTTTTATAATCTTAGCCTTATGATATGCTTATATGTGTTTGGTACTTCAAAAATGTGTCCCATGATAGTATCTCTTTCTTGGACGCAATGTAATGCATGTAACTTTGGACGAAATGAGATGAAGAACCTTGAAAGCGTTCATCAGACATTTAGTTAGGCATTTAAACAAAGGCATTCACACCAAATATTTTAATTATTTCACAAAATCTCTTTCAAATTTGAACTTTTCAACCCAATACTAGCCCATTACAGATTTCGTAAATGCCATAAATGGGGTCAAATTATTACATTTCAATTCACACATTTCCGCCCAAAAACCCACAAGAAATCCTTTTAATTAGAAACATACGAAGGCTAAATGATGCGTTTGCTTATTGCCACAACAGTTGAACATAAATCATGCCTTTCAATTTGCTTTCTGACAACCCGGCCGACAAACGGAAATGCATTGCTTTGCAATAAAGTTTCCGATTTCCACAATTCTCAAACTCACACACACAGCTAGCTTGCATGGATAGTCCACTCATATTGTTCTGCACGAAAAAGGAAGCTCCGACCTTTCTAGGTAGATTTGAATTTCCGACAACGTTGAAGATGTGGTGTCAAGACCACAAACAATATTGACTACTTTGGTACTTAAACGAGAGAACAATGCAACCACAACTATACAATAAATCGATAGCATGTTGTTGTTTTGCACATATATTAGGGGTATTAAATAAGGACAATGATTGACTACAAATTTTGAAAAGCAGGAGTATTGAAATTTATCTCCTTCAGCTACGGTAAACTTATAGAAAGCCGTTTTTGTATTCTGGTTTCAGTAGATTTTTATTTGATTTTTTTTTCAGAATATTTCCATAGCTTTCCGTACATGGAAGATCTGTATTGGATCTTTAGAATATAGAAAAGCTGTAAATGTCCCTCTTGCTACAAACGATTGATTAAGTTCCTTCTTCATATAGAATGCCTGTCAAACTGTTTCTCTATAAAATAAATAAAAAAGGCTTAAAGTTCGCCCTGGCCCCTGCTTTTGCTTGTAAATTTAGGATTCCAGCCCTATCCCTTCACTCAATACAAAAGTTGGTACCATTTAGTATTTTTAGCACAAATAAAAAAGATACCATCAGTAATCACAATATTAATTTTCAGATCATTATCTCTACCCCTTCAAACAATACCAAATATGGTACTAATCTGTACTTTTCGAAAAATTTTAGTACACAGTACCGAAACCACCTCAATATATCCATGAATAACGACCGTGATACCAAATTTTAGATTTCAAGCAAAACCAGCTCCATATATTAATGCCGGATACCAACAGAGACCTTAATATCAAATTTCAAGATTCCAGCTCTATCCCTCACCAATACCAAATACACGGTAAGATGAAAACACTGCAACCAATTTCAGACTGCTGTCATTTCTAAGCTACTCGTTCGACAGCTGTTAAAATTATTCCAATGACAACTCATTATATGTTTTACAAGCGTACAAAACCATTTTGGTGGGAATTTTCCAGAAAAAAAATTATTTGTAAGGGAATTAAAGCTTGATTTCTTTATATTTGGCTGGAAAACCACTAGTGGCTATCGTTAGAGCACTCCAGCATTTAAATGTGAACAATTTTTTTGTGTCTCGTTCAACCACTCGTTACCGTGATCGAAACCCGCATCGCAGTGGCCGAAAAATGGTCGTGAGCGGAACATATCGCAATATTCCATTCGGCAAATATTGAAAAATCAACTCGGGGTAAAGCCATTGAAATTCCAAAAAGTGCAAGAACTTACACCGCAACAAAACGCAACACAAAAAAAAAAGAAAATAGACTCAAAAGAGCTAAAGAGTTGCTTCGCTTGGTGAACTGCCGAAAGTGGTGAACTAACGAATTTGATTTTCTCCGATGAGAAAACATTCGTTGTCCAGCAGTTTGTAAACAAACAAAATGATCGTGTTTAATTGCCAAAGAGGTCAGCTGAATGTGCAACTTCGTTGGCCACCAGAACTCAAGCGGCCATGGTGATGGTGTGGCCGCCA